CATTTCAAAGTAGTTGCACCTCTCATAATGCTTAAGCAAGAAAAAATATTTAAGAAACACACATGTTAAGACATAAGTCCATTCAAACCATCTCCATGCCAACACAAGGTCTTTGCTAATACTTTTACCTCAGTGAACTCTGCCCTAGTTTATTGACACAGAAAGATAAATTTGTCTTCTTTTCCTATTACCTTATACTTACATCTGGTCTCACAGGTATAAATGAAGCTGGATCCTTTTATAGTTCTAGTTTACAAGGAATGGCTGAATCTCACTTTAGGGAGCAATTTTGCTAAAGGAGATGATGGTTTAGAACATGATAATGGGAAAGAAAATTAAGAAGATGAAATAGGCACTCAGATTGATCTTCCGGGCCCCAGTTCCCTCCATCAGAGAAGGAGATGTAATAAAAATGCTATCCAGCTCTTGTCATGTCATGTGAATTAAGACTTAGGAGTTTCTTAGTGGAAAACATTTTATAACTGGTAACATTTTTCAGTGAATTCATTGAAATGCCATCTTCTAAGAAACCCATTTTGAAAAGAATTGTACAGACTGAAAATTACCAGGTAAATTGGAGAGAAATGTTTCTTCAAGTCAAAAACTTCACTTGTAGTTTAGCTTCTGGAGAAGTGCACACGGCTTCCCTCTGGGGTTCTTTTGTATGAAGGGGGTGGGGATGGAGGTATCAAACCACTGAGATCTGCAACCAATTGTTTCCATACAGCAGAGAGGGCATCCCAAGGACACATGAAGTGGAAGGGCAGGCCCTATGCCCAGAGAGATAGAGATACAGCAATTACTAGAATTAGAATCTAATGGCTTAATTCAGAAAGCAAGCTTTGCAGTCACTGTTACACTGCGAAACTATGTGAGGAGCATGTGCCACGGAAGATTTAGTTTGTATTTTGTCATTCTGTGTGGTTTGTAGGAAATTCTCCAAGATAAGACTCACTGTGGGCAGATACTAAACTGCCCTCCATATACACTTTCCTCCCTCCCTCCCTTCCTCCCTTCGGCCTTCCTTCTTTTCAATGAGAGAGGCTTTCTCTACATAGCCCCCTATGGGACTGGTGTACACTAAATTATCAAAAGTGGTCCTGAACTCATGGCAGTCCTCCAATTTCAAGCCTCTCAAGTGCTGGATTGCACTGGTGCATTAACATGTGTGGCTTCCATGAAAATTGTCAAATGGGGCAAATTTTTCTCTAGGCTGCTCATGTCCTCTCTGGAACACTGCTTAAGTATGCCCTTGGGTTCATGTGGTACCCTTAAAAGCATCATGTACTCCCCGGACCTGACACTCATCGCTTCAGCACGTCAGTGCCTTTCTGCTGATGATGCCACTTATGTGTCTGCCCCCAAAAGCATGATGTTCTTTAGAGCACTTTCAGGTGCTCATATAAATAACAAAAGAGTTAACAAGCATTAAAATACTTAACGTATACACACATGCATGCAGGAATACCAGGTTCTTCTGAAAAAGAGCTTGGAAGTTAAGGTCAAGGATTGGCTTTGATACTACCTATAGAAAAAGAAAGTAATAAAAGCTTCTTAATTCCACTAGATTTTATGTTTATTAGATTTGGTGAAAGAAGCAGTAAGCTATTGTTTTTAAAAAGTAATTGTTCATTTTCTTCTGAATAAACTCTGATTCATAAAACATAAGTTTTAGAGTCCATGCTTCTAGAATACCATTTAACATGAGTATACCCAGCTGTTCTTAAATCCAGAAATAGCCTAGATTTTATTATTACTTTGTGTGTGTGTGTTTGTGTGTGTGTGTGTGTGTGTGTGTGTGTGTTTGTGTGTTTTATACTGTGTGTTTGCATGGCCACAGAGGCCTGAATAGGCTGTTCAATCTCCTGGAGCTATAGTTACAGGTGGTTGTGACCTGCCCAATGTTGTTACTGGGAACTGAATTGGGGGTCTTCTGCAAGTATAGCAAATACATTGAACTGCTGAGCCATCTCCTCTGATGCAAACTTGGATTTTAATGGATATAAAAAGAAATAAATTAAAAATATACCAAGTTCCTTTTTTAGGAAATAAGGATGAGTTTGTCCTGAGGCATATAGATGTCACTAAAACCTAGAAACATAGATTCATGTTAAAAGAGGGAATTTGACCTTTATAGCCAAAGGACAGTGTCACAAATCCATACATTCAACAAATCCATGGGCGTGGTCCTTAGATGATCTGTGGCAACAGAGGGATTTGGTGGTTTCAGATGATATCTTACAGCATTTTAGCCATGGGGTTGGTTAAGGCTAGAGGTCTGCAAGCGTAGTGAGGGGTTTAGCGTACTGGAGAATGGTATATCAAATGCAATAGTTAAGGTAAATGGCTTCCCAAGGACATAAGATGTCCTAATTTTGGAAATAGGTATTACACCAAGTTTTTAGTTAATTCTTCCTTCATTGTCACAGCGCATGTACATTGGGTTCCTAGAAACTGAAGGTATTTTTGGTTTTTATTTTTGTTATATTTGATATTATTAGCTAATCAATTCTTTCTAACAGAAAATAACACCTATTCCTATTTTAAGATCTGGGAGGAAAAATTATTAGAAAATATGTAAATAAGGCTTAAAAACCTGATTCATTAACAAAGGCAAAGCTATCAAAAAGCTATCAGGAGAACAGGAAGGTCAAGGCACAGAAAAAAAAAATAGTATTTAGATCCAAGTTTCATATCAAAAGTGTGAAGAAATGAGGGAGGTGTGAACAGTTACAGTTCACCCTTAATTCTCCAAAATAGATATATTTGTCTGATCATGTTATTAAACTTGGGATATTTGCTGCTGCTGTTTTAATAGAATACTTATACAATAATGTTGATCAGAAATTGTTTTAAAAATTCTCAAGGATTCAATTTCAGTTTTGTCTAGCTCTGGTGATTACTCTTAGCTGACTTTGGTGAGATTGGTAATTAAAAGAAAAATGTGTCTAAATGCATCAACCTCACAAAACTATAGGAATGTCAAATCATGCTATCCCAAAAATGAGGAAGATGATTCAATGTGATCACATTTATAAAAGAACTGTATGTCTGTAGGAAACTGCAAAACTTTGAACAAATTCCAAATTGCAAGCTTTGGGTACCAGACACTTGCTTAAATTAGTCTACTAGCAGATATCAAACAAACAAACAAACAAACAAAAACCCACCTCTGACAGATGTTCAAAGTAAATTATAAATACATGGTGGTCAATAGTATTGAAAGCCACATAGAAGCTTTACCAGGTTATTAGTGTTTGCTCTATTGGAACTGAATATGATTTAAAATATGTTTTCGTAATTCATACCAGCCTACCTTCTGTATATTAGGCTATTCAAGTGATCTTTAAATTATTGTTCAATTCTACTTTCAAGAGCGCTTTCACAAAGGACATGCAATTCATATCATCTGGAGTTACTGTCATTTCTAGGCTAACTCCCATGGAAATTCATAACTTAGAAATGAAAGTAGCAGGGATGCAACTGCCATCACAATACCAATGCAGTGGCCATAAATATTTCATGAACATTGCATGGGCCAGGGCATATCTCCATTTTCATGAGTTAGAATTTGTACAGCTAAGTCTCCTGATTTTACTATTCATAATGCACAGTATGCCCCACAGAGCATTCCATATAGTGCTTTTTTAATATTTATGTTTAATGAAGAAATTACTGTTCTGAAAAGTGAACAAGCCAAGCCAAAGATTTCTTGTTGAAAGTCTTAAGTTAGGCTCAACTGAAGTAACAATCAACAGAAATGACCTCGTTGCAGTATCTCAGCATAGAAACTCATAACTTTTAGAGGAGTACAGGGTGACAAATCAAAACATGTTAAAATCAAGTGAAAAGGTTCCTTTAAAGGTTAAAACATTAGAAATTTCATCTTAGACAAACCCAAAAGGTTAAAATACCAAACGCAATGTCTTTTACACACAAAAGCATTAATTACAAATGAGACACTTGCTGGCTACTTTATAGTTTAAATATACGTCTATATTTTCTGGTTTTTCTTTTATCAAAAAACTTTTAACTTGCTGAGATAATATTGCTAAGATTGGAAATGAATTGCTGTTGAATTTTTAAGCTAATTCATCACAGCGCATTATCAGCACTTGTCAGAATAATTTTTTACTCTTCGTAGTAATAATAATAATAATAAAAGCTATTGTATATATTGAAATCTAAGAACATTATCACAGAAAAGTTACTTCATTGGGAGGCTGGCTGTCTTTCTCTAGATGATACTTGTCCCATGACAAAATAAAAGCTTGAAAAATCTCAGGCCTAGAAAAAAATGTCCATTTCTCACTATTAAAAGGAGCATTTGATATTTCATTCCTTTTTTTTCATTTTGATCAGTTCTTTCAAACAGAGGACTGTTGAAAAACCTGGTTTATCTTAGTAACATCTATAAAAGAAAGCTAATGTCACTGAACAGCTCATGTGCAAGCCAAGGCTGTGAAGCTGTTTTAGCATGAGTACAGATTGCATTCAGGAGGATGATGAGGTCACCATTGCTTGTGAATATACGTCACTAAGAGTCTGTCTTCTCCAGTGAAAACAACAGACTTCACATTGGATGCCATTCACCAGTTCAAATATATTTTAGGCTTCCAACAATGAAGATACATAGAAACTCTATGATATTTCTCTCTATGTTTCTTGAACTTCCAACCATGCATTTATATTGTGTTTCTGATAATATTTTAACTGAAAATGAGAACCCCCCCCATTTCCTTCTTCATAATTTTATTTTACAAAGACTCCCAAAAGGAATGTAACCTTTCTGGAATGGATCTGCAGTATACCTAAAGAGTGTTTGCCTTAGCTCCTAAAGCATTTAGGAGTCATGCTGGAGAGGAATCTGAAAATGGTGTCATGTTGTTTTTGGTCAACTCCTCTCATCTTGTACATGTCTGGCTTTGATATTATTTGGGGGCACATTTTGATCACAACTCTTTAATTAGGTTCTATATTTAACTGACCTATTTGAACAGGATCCAGAGCTGGTGAGGAACATCTGTCGTTGGGTTAGGCAAGCTGTTCGGGTTCCATTTTTTGCCAAATTGACCCCAAATGTCACCGATATTGTAAGCATCGCAAGAGCAGCGAAGGAAGGTAAGAGCTGGAATTTCATCAATTGTCCAGTTATTAATGATGCCCCAATGGCTAAGTCATGCTGAAACAGACCCTTTCCACATAATCCATATGTGTGCCCTATTTATCTTTTAAGAAATATATTACATGTACCACTTGCTTCCACAAATGCACAAGACATATACCTAGTTTTGAAAAATAGAATCATATTTTGCACATCTTAACATACATGAAATATGAAACAATCATCTATAGTCCTAACAGAGAACTCAAAGTTGAGGGCCTCGGCATGTACCAACTTAGGAACAGCTTTTGCATCTGTCATAAGGTTAAAAAATACAACTACATCCACAATGAATTTACATTTGTGTCTCTTGTATTTATGAGAATGAAGCCCAATGTCTTACACATTTTATGATTAAGAGATTGAATCCATGGTAATTAAAACTTCTTAAAACATCTATTTGTGTGTGTGTGTGTGGGGGGTGTTTCAAGACATGGTGTAGCACAAATTCTAATTGGTCTTAATAATAAAAACATTGAGTCAGATATTAGGGGGTGAAAGATCAAAGATCAGAGAAGCAGAGCAGCCAGCCACTAGAATTCTTACCTCTACAAAATCAGACAAAAAAGGGGGGACTAGCTCCTGTCTCCACTTGCTTTATATTCCATTCTCTGCCCAATCATATCACTTCCTGTTTCCTCCTCCCTAGTGCTGGGATTAAAGGCATGTGTCTCCTAAATCCTGGGATCAAAGGCATGAGATTCCAAGTACTGGGATTAATTGTGTGTGCCACAACAGCCTAGCCGTTGTCGTTATCTAGTGTCTAGCTCTGCACTCTGATCACCAGGCAAGCTTTATTTGTTAGAGCACAAACAAGATGTCACCACAATGGGGTTTCTTTGTGGAGCACTGGCTGTCCTAGAACTCACTCTGTAGACCAGGCTAGCATGGAACTCACAGAGATCTACCTGCCTCTGCTTCTGGAGTGCTGAAATTAAAGACATTTGCCACCACTGCCCAGCTTAAAAAACATATCTAGCATTTAAGCATAACCAGAATAGTTAAATGAATGCAGACATGTGGTAGGTAAGAAATTTGGGGCTGCAAGATATAAAGACAAATGGTCACATGCTTTTTCACAGGTGGTGCAGATGGTGTTACAGCCACCAACACTGTTTCTGGCCTGATGGGACTGAAAGCTGATGGCACTCCGTGGCCTGCCGTGGGCATTGGAAAGAGAACCACATATGGAGGGGTATCAGGTGGGTTTTGATCTTTCCTTGCATTTTACTTCATTAGACATTGCTAGAAGCCAAGATGTATTAGGGGCAAGTGGTCACTTTCCTAGTTGTTATGGTGGGACAAATTAACTGGGAGGCTACAGTCACTACTGGGTGAGATAAGAGCCATGCTGACCCCCTTCTCCTCTGACCTCTGCTCTCCTCAGAGTATTCCAACATCATGGCTACATTGCCCTTTATTAGTGAAAGCTAACACCACAGCCCTTGAGACAAAATATACCTCAATTATAATACCTTTTTGATAATCTTAAATCAGTTTCCATCCTTCTTAGACTCTTAATATTATCCATAATCTTTAACATCTTTAAAACACCCTCATTTCACAACTCAGAACTAACCACTAAAGCTCAGTATTTAGCTTCAGCCACAAGACACAGGGCTGACATCACACCTTTGCTTATTCTTTGTCATCCTCTTACACTTGAATTTGAAAAAGAGAAGTTTACTTTCAAGGTCCCTTCTTGTCTTGTTGACCTCCACACTCTGTTGCTGTGACAACATGAACTTGGCCTTGTAGAGACAATGCCTTGAGGTTCTTTACTGTACTGATAGGGGGGTTAGTTTCCTTGGTGATAAAGTGGTATATGTACATAAAGCAATGGTGCCCCATGTTCAAGAAAGGCATTGCTGAATTAGACCAAAATACACTTTCAGAAGAGGCAGAATTGGCTGCCAAAGCTGAAGAAGTCTGCTGTGCAGACGAAGCATGTCCATGAGCCAAGGTGAAACTTCAAGGACATGGGGCTACCTTATGCTTATAACTGAATATTCAGAATCCCATGTGTGAAGGAGGAAGACGGACAAGCAGCTCCTGAACTATCAAACAGGGACTTAACTATTACTGTAATGTGGAATAGCCCAGGCTGTGTTAGCAAGGGTCCTAGAAAGAGTCAAGAAACTCTGGAGTTGGGCCTTAACATGTGCTCCATTTTCTGTCAGCTCATTTCAATTCTTTTCCAGGCTGTCATGTTGACAGCAGGAGAATAAAGGAGGTCACAGAGGGTGCTGAGCATTAAAAATTAATAAAAGAACTATTGAGGTACTATTTTATAAAAGTAACACCATTCACGTTTTCTCATTTAAGCTGCAATTTCTGAATATTTTCCCCTGCCATAACTCAGTCTAATAAAACTATGAAATTACAGCATTAGAAAGAGTCTTTCATGTTTCCATCTTTAAGCATACATATACTGAACACAAGCTGTACCTCAGGGCCTGTTAACATTTCCAGGAAACTCCATTTCTGAGATTTATAAATACATATATAAAAATTCGCTTGGGCTATAAGCTCAGCTAAGCTGGGCTTGGAACTCTCATTTTAAGCAACAAAATTGTCGCTCACATTTTTAAGGGGCTGTCCCTCATTTCTAATATGTTCTATATTAAATTCTTCCACACACTACAATCTGTTTTGAAAATAACCTTTCTCCATATGGACAAAACCAATACAGTCTTTCTCCTTTAAAGAAATGCTTGCTGTAGTTTAAAAGTAATAGAACCAGAAAAGCAGATTAAACTGCCAATAACATGTTCTAGGGCAGAAACGAGGGCTATGACAATGTACCTTCAGCATACATCATACAAAACCCTAGCCTTATAAAACTGCTAATAATACTGGTTTCAAATTTCAACTAAATACTTTTGCTACTCTCTTAGATGTGGTTGTCAGAACTTCAAAGCCTGATCCACTGTAGAAAATCACACAAAATATGCTGAATATTTTCACAAGATTAAAAACAATAGTCACCATATATAGCTAATATTGTCACTAGGGTTTTCTCAGAACACTGAAGTGACACGTTTTACAACTATTTGACTTGGGGTCTTTATTAGAAAAGCTGAATAGTAGTTTGGAGTGGCCATCTGACAGCATATGCCTATACTGCCAGAGGAGGGTGCTTTCAGTGTATTTTCCAGTTCAGTATTCAAGCTTTCTATTTTATTCAGAGTACTCTTTCTGGCAATGGAAATGGAAGTTATATGTTGCTAAAAAGAGAAATACAGTTATCAAGAGAAATTAAGTTGTGTACCTGGTGTATTTCCACATTTACTTTTTTAAAGGTGTTTAATGTTTTATTTACTTAATCTGTGCTTGTGCATCTAAGTGTGCAGGTGCCTGAAGAACTTAAAAAAGGTTGTCTGATCACCAGAAACTGGAGTTACTATGGTTGGGTGCTTCCACATGTGGGTGCTCGGACCACTCAGCTCCTCTGTAAGAGCAATAAATATACATGTGCCTAGCCATCTGTCCAGGCTACATTTCAGTGCTTTTAAACTTTTAAAGAATGTATCACTTCTCTGTGAATTTTGTATAATATGTTTTGATCATGTTCATCCCCTCCCACCACTTCCTGAGATCCATCCTTACCCCTTTTCCAACCAACTTTGTGGGTTTTGTTGTTGTTGTTCCATCTATCAAGACTCTTTTGTGCTCCAGTACTCCCTAAATGTCTTACACTGAATCTTGGTCCACTTACCAGAGTCTACACTCTTAGAGAAAACTGACTCTCCCTCTCATAGCAGCTTTCAATTGCCAATAACTCCTTGGAGACGGAATGGGGTAGGCTTTCTTGCCCACCTAGCCTCTCCACACCGGAATTTTGTCTGCCTCTGGCTTGCATAGGTTTTGTGCATGCTTTTTTAACCATTGTGAATTCATATATGCAGTTGCCTTGTTATGTTCAAGAAGACACTGTTTCTTTGTGGTTGTTAACTACCACCCCTGGCTCTTAAACCCTTTCTGCAATAATCCGTGAGCCTTGGGACTAGGGACCATAGTATAGATGTTCCATTTAGGGAAGATAGACCCAGCTAAGGAATGTCAATCAAATTGTTTCTCATTTTACTGTTCCAGATTCTACTGCACTGGTTTTCAAACATTGTTTTCCAATCATGTATGTGCTATAGAGCTAAGTTTAATGAATTATAACCAACATAGTTTAACATTTTATTTTTAAATACGTGTGTGTGTGTGTGTGTGTGTGTGTGTGTGTGTGTGTGTGTGTGTGTGTACTTATATGCATACCTATATGTTATTTGCATGTACACAAGGTCTAAAGAGTCCCTTGAATCTAGAGTCACAGGCAGTTGTGAGCCTATTGACACAGGTTTGTGTTCTAACAAGCCCCTTGAATCTAGAGTCACAGGCAGTTGTGAGCCTATTGACACAGGTTTGGGAAACAAACTAAGGTCCTCAGAAAGAGTAATACATGCTCTTAATGATGGAGTCACCTCTCTGGCCCTTGCAATCAATATTTTAATAAATAAAATTAAATTAAAAAATAAAACAAAATAAAAGGGGGAAATTTTGTAACATTTTACACAGAGTTGTAGTAACTACTGCTTAGTCAAATTTCTTTCTCAATTGTACATATATGATGAGCATGTACATGAAATATGTGAAATGTGTTTTCACTGTGGCTCATGTCAAAATTCTCTGAAGTTATAATGTTCAGAGTATATGCAATATATATATATATAATGTAAGAACATTATAATATATTATGTAAGAACATATATATAAATATAATATAATGTGAAAACATAATATATACTTGTTGCAGCTTAAAATACATTCAGAAAGGGATTTAGTATTCCATTCTAATGACCTGTTCACTGCCTTGAAAGTTTATAACATGCAAATGTTTTCCAAATTTACCTGGAGGAGTGGAATCAGAATGTAGATGGGGCTATAGCCCACAATGTAAACTCATAAAGGAATGACCTAGTAAACAGAAAGTCAATCAGAAGAGAAGCACATGGCACAAGTCTTGCTCATAGGAGGAGTCCATCAATGGCTGCCTTATAGATTAGGTGATGGAGTGGTGAGAAAGGTGTCAGAAGACATCATGTCCAATATGCATAAGAAATATTCTTTCAATGATAGCAGATAAAGGTCTGCATGTTACAAGCATTACTGTTTAAGTCACTGATATGGAGTAGGTGGATTTATATAAATGGTGTTGCTCAGCTGGGGTGGAATATTGTCACACTAAGCCCTCCCTGTGGTTAAGCCAAACTTAAAGACAGTTAAGAGTGAGTCCTACATGGTGTCAGTTAAAGATACATCTTTTTTTTTACAACTGACATTGGAAGATAGTCTTTTTTCATTTGTAGATACACAGGAAAAAGAGTAGTTCTGGTTCTTTCTATGCATTTACTTACTTGAAGACATCTTCATTTGCTGTCCCTGTGCTTTTAGTTTTTCTCATTCTTGGGGAAGAGCATATTCCTTAGAACTGTTTAGTTCCATTCCATTCCCTGAATGTGTGTTGTCTATCACACATGTAAGCATGAACTTAGGGAAAAGTTATTAAATTTCCTGCAGATGGCATTTTAAATAATACTTCAAGCTTAAAGAAGTTTACTTTCAAAAAGCTTAAAAAGACTCGCTCTGAAGTATTTTGTTTACCAGTGTTGTTGTAATTTTCCACAATATGGGAAACTCCTTATTTTAAAATTTTGGATATTGCTTGAAATTTGATTATGTGTACACTTAATTAAAAGAGTAGAGCCCACTCTATTTGATATTAAACTTAATAAGCTTGTATTATTGATTTCTGAATAATTCATCAAAGATGGCCTTCAAGCCTCTTTGATGAATCCAAAAGTGTTAATCACGGATAGATTACTGCAGAAAATGTGAGAACCAATTGTTTCTTTTTCAGAAAATGATAATGACAGTACCATAGATTCTCTTTACAGTCTTCAGTAAATGCATTATTTGAAGTCCCACTATGTGGATTTCAGTTTACAGTTGTACAATTCATAAATCATTTTCATCATAAAAACTACCAGCCAAAGTTCAAGGAAAAAATGTTAACAGTAATTTGTAGCCTTGGGATGGTGTTTCATTGAGAAATTTGCACAGTAGATTCTTTAAAAACTCACACAGTTTTACATTAAATTTTTATTACATTATCATGTGTGTACAGGTGTAAGCATGTCACAGTGTATACACAAAGGTTAGACAACTTGAAGAAGCCAG